CTCTCTCTCTCTCTCTCTCTCTCCGGCCTGCTCTGCTTGAGGCGCGCTCGCCCACCAGGCCGAGGGGGCCACACAGTTGAGGGGGGAGGCGTGAAAGGAAGGGAAAGAGCCGGCAAATGTCTCCTCAGGGTTTTATTCTCCGCCTCCTCCGTCTTCTCCCCGGCTTTATTCCTGCCCCCTTCGGCGGCGTCGGCTTCTCCCTCCGGCTCCGGCTTCTCCCTCCTCCGCCGCCTCTTTCCCCTCAGACACAGAAACACACACACACCACCAGAGAGACACCCAGCAACCACCCCCCAGACAGGCCCGCTCCACCTGCCAGTAAGGCGCCTCCTCATTGGCCGGCTCGGCCCGGCGCGTCTTCTCGCGCCCGTCCGAGCACGAGAGGGAGGGCGCGAGGAGGCGGGGCAGAGAGAGGAGGAGGAGGAGGAGGAGCCCGCCTCGTGACCTCCCCCTTGGCCAAAGCAGCCGCGCGGCCAATCGGCGCCGAGGATTGGAGAAGTCCGTTTCGAAGGGGGAGGGACCTTTCAAACACATATACACACACACATATTAAAAAAAAAAAAAAAGGTGGCAGAGAAGGGAAACGGAGGGCGCTCCGGATTGGTCCGAAGGGAGAGCAGGGGCGGGCGGGAGAAGGGCGGGGCGTCATCTTGCCCCGCGGCGGCGCTTGGTGGATCTCCGCCCGGCGCGCCCCCTGCAGGCGGGTCGGGGAAAGCGGCGCCCGTCCACCTCTATACGGCGGGGGACAATGGAATCCGTAGTCCGGCCGACCCGAAGGAGCACCGCGGAGGGCGGGGGATGATGGGCGGTGTAGTCCCACGAAAAACAAAAGACGGAGGTAGGGTAGATGGAAATCGCTGTCCCAACAGAGAAAGGGAGCTGCGGCACCGGGGATGATGGGACTTGTAGTCATTTGGCTTGCCTGGATGGGATTTGTAGTCCCACATGGGCAATGCAGGAAAGCGATGCTGGGAACCGCCGAAGGATGCTAGGATCCATGAAAGGGGAATCTGGGAAGACACCCCACACACACACACACCAAGGCACAAATCTCAAGATAGGAACTTGTAGTCCCAACACCCCTGGGGTGCAGGGAATGATGGGGCTGGGCAAAAGCTTGCCGTGAATGATGGTACATGTAGTTAAGGCGCTAGGAAGTCGTAGCCCAAGCCAGAGAAAACTGGCTGAAGGGCCAGGCTGGCTTTGCATGGGTTTGGAGTCCGTGGGGGGCAGAGGATGGGAATTGTAGTCACCGTAGAGAGGCTTGGCACAGCTCTGGGGAGGCAGTCCTGAAACACCTGATGGGATTTGCCACTCTTCCCATCCAATTGCTTTCACCAAGGATGATGGGGGTTGCAGTCCATCAGAAAAGACAGCCAAAAGGACTATGACCGGATGGTTATCATCCCATTGGCTCACGAATATCATCCTTTCTGGGGATAACGGGAGCCTGCAGCCCACCCAGATCGCAATCCCCAGTCAAGTGCAAATGGGAGTTGTAGTCATTTTTGCTCACACGGATGGAAATTGTAGTCCCATCCACTTGCTCAGCTTCTGGAGTTACAATTGCTATTTTATCTAACTACGGCTTAGCCCAGCCACCAGCAAGAAAGCTCTGCAGACAAACCACCATTCCCTAACAAGGATCAAAGAAGCTAGCTCTTTCTCTTCCTTTCCATCAAGGCCAGGCAAACCAAACCCATATCTTTGCCACCACGAAGCTGCAGAACCACAGGCCCATCTGCGTTAACTTTTATTTATTCATTTCTGGATTCGTGGTGCTTACACACACCAGCCTTTGCCCTGGGCTCAAATGCAAGCCACCAGTTCATTTCTTTTCCCCACCACCCTCAAATTTCACTTCCAAAACCAAGGCACGGGGTTCGATCTTTTTCCCCTTCTCATCCCCAAAGAACACCACCAACAAAACAACACCAGCGTTTCTGTGTTTTATTTGCCTCACAAGAGAATTTCTGGGGGGGTTTTGTGTGTGTGTGAACAGATAGCTCAGATGCCCTGCAAATCTTTTTCATACACTAAAGAGGAGGTGAGGGAGAAATTAAGGATAGGAGGGGAGCAGCAGAGTGAGAGAGAGGGGAAAAAAAACTCTGGCATCTCAAGCAAAGGCAGCAAAAAAAAAAATGCTTTACAGTATAATTTGGAGAGGGCTCCCCTCCAAGATCCAGCGATGAGAAGACGAGCGAACCATCCTGCCTTGAAGCCCCCCCCCCCAGCACCCACACATTTCTTGAAAGCCTCAGCTGGAGAGAAGGGAGGCATGAGGGGAGGGGAAGAGAATTACAAGATGGAGGACTTGAAAACATCGAACCGTTTCCATCAGCTGCCCTTCTTTGCTACGACGATGCAGGCGCTAAGGGGGAGAGGGGGACTAAATGTATTCCTCTAATGAGCCTCATCAACAGCTTCCTTTTTTTAATTGATTCGGGGGTTCCTGAAATTCCGGCCGGCAAAACGAGCCTTGCTTCCCAGCTCTTCTTCAATTCTAGAGGGGGGGGGAGAGAAGAAGAAGAAAGAAAACCATCTTGAAAATCCAGCAAGAAATGCAGGTACCACCGCCAAAAGTTAAGTCACACGGTTGTTAAGTCACACGGTTGTTAAAAAGAATCTGGCTCGCTTGTCAGGCCGCAACGGGGAATCGCACGATCCTAGGACGACATTGCAACCGTTATAAATGCCAGTCAATTGCCAAGTGTCTGGATTCTGACCACATCCCCGCCATCATGAGGATGCTATAATGATCGTTAAGTGTGAAAAATGGTCGTAAAGTAACTTGGAACAGTCACTAAACGAACTGTTGGGTTGGCTGTAAGATGACCCACCAGTGAAATATAGGGAAGAAAGAAAGATCATTGCATCAACAATTTAGCAAGGTTTCTCCACCTTGGCTACTTTAAACGGTGTGGACTTCAACTCCCAGAATTCCCTAGCATTACATCACTTCCTGCAAAATTGTTAGGACTACTATTCTCATTAGCCTGAGCTCACCTGTCTACATTCAGGAAGGAGAGAAATTAAAATGGAAAAATTTCATATTTCTAAACCACCTATCTCCTCTCAAAAGACGGGCTCCAGCAGGGGACAATATAATACAGGTGATAAATAAAAGAACTTGTAAAAATGAACATTAAAATTAAACGAGGTTTAACGGTTTTAAAGTTATAAAACAAGAACAATCAAGATCAAAAGGGGGAAATGAAAAGAAAGTTTTCGATGGAAAGAAAAACAATTGTTTTTCTTCCTTTTTCACTTTATTGTTTTGAATTTCTTTGTTCTTCTGTGCTTTCCTGAACGTTTTAAATAAAAATAATGTTTTTTCTTCTGCGACCGCTCCTGAGTGCATAGAACAGAACTTGGCACATCTTACAGGAATCCCGATTTTAGAGAACAATTTGATTTAGAGGACAATTTCTTACAGCCACCACAGATTATGCTGGCCCTGACCCCAAAGATATCGGGCCTATAAAAACTCCTCTTACCTTAGAATCTGGTTGTATTTAGCGAGACGTTCGGATCGGCAAGGAGCACCGGTCTTAATCTGGTAAAAGAAAATTAAACCAAGGAATATGAGTCGACAATGAACCAAGCACATGCAAGCAGTGGCATCGTTTTCATGTCACAACAGAGACCACAGAACTATTATTCTCATTAACAATACACCCGTGTTTCTCCACCACAGCCACTCTGGACTTCAACTCCCAGAATCCCCCAGCCAGCTATGCTATGCAGTCCACACATCTTCATCAAAATGGCTGCTGTACATTCCGCAGGACACCAGATTGCAATGCATCACAAAGCCCCCCAAAAGCATGCCACATCATGGCTTGTTTCGCAAACCATGATTGGTCACATGGAACAAAGTAGTGTTCTACCATACCGCCTGATCTCTCCAGTTCCTTCTGGCATTACCCTCCAGCAGGGGTCTTCAAACTTGGCCCTTTGATGACTTATGGACTTCAACTCCCAGAATTCCTCAGCCAGGCGTGCCTGACTGAGGAATTCTGGGAGTTGAAGTCCACAAGTCATCAAAGGGCCAAGTTTGAAGACCCCTGCCCTCCAGCAACGCACGACCACCAATTTCTGCCCCCACAGCAACTTTTGGGGAAGGCAAAGCCTCACCTGTCCGGTGCAGAGGCCCACCACCAAATCCGCAATGAAGGTGTCTTCCGTCTCTCCGGAGCGATGGCTCACCATCACCCCCCAGCCGTTGGACTGGGCCAGCTTGCAGCTAAAAAGGAGAAGAAAGGAGACCACGGGGTGATTTTTTTTTTCAAAGCAGCAAGCGAAAGATCGAACCAGGCACTGGGTGACTTTGCAACCAACGGGGGATGCTGCAACAGTTATAAGTGTGAAAAATGGTCATAAGCCACTTTTTTGGGTGCCGCTGTAACTTCAAACGGTCACTAAATGAATCGTAAGTCAAGGACGACCTATCATGAGCCTTTTGCCAAGCGTCTGAATTTTGATCATGTGACTATAAGGGGTCATTAAGTGTGAAAAACAATTTTAAGGTCACTTTTTCCAGCGCCCTCATAACATCAAAAGGATTTCCCAGTAGTTCTATCTTACGGTTTGTATGTCATGAGATTTTCTCTCTCTAAACCCGATTTAATGCCCAGAATGGTCACTAAACGAACGGTTAAGTCGAGGACCACCTGTATTCTCATTTATGAATCCCTTTCTGAGATCCCTGGAGTTTTTTGCCAGGTCCTGCCTGCCCCTCCCTCCCGGAAGACTTACGCCTGCAGCGACTCGGTGACCGATCCGATCTGGTTCACTTTGAGGAGGAGGCAGTTGCAGGACTTTTCCTGCACCGCTTTGCTGATGCGTTTGGGGTTGGTCACCGTCAAGTCGTCCCCCACCACCTGGATCCCCGCCTCGGCCGTGAACTTCTTCCAGGCGGGCCAGTCATCCTGGTCAAAGGGATCTTCGATGGAAACCACTGAGAAGGACAGGACGGAGGGGGAGGGGAGAAGAGACAAATCTGTGATGGAGCTGACTGGGCTCCAATGATTTCTGAGAAGGCAACTTGATTTATTTTTTTCCCCCTCTCCTTGATTAGTTTCCATCCGTCGTTTCTTTTGTCTTGCACCAGGAAGCAGGACAAGAAGCAACGGAGGGAAACTCATCAAGGAGAGAAGCAACCTGGAATTAAGGAGAAACTTCCTGACAGTGAGACAATTAACCAGTGGAACAGCTTGCCACTAGAAGTTGTGGGTGCTCCAACACTGGAGGCTTTTAAGAAGGGACTGAACAGCCAGCTGTCTGAAATGGCATGCTTGAGCAGGGGGCTGGACTAGGTCCCTTCCAGCTCTATTCTGATTGATTGATTGATTGATTGACTTTGGAGGAGAGCTTACTTAACCTGGCTGTCCTTTCACAGTGCCTAACCTTCTTCCCATTTTACAGAAAACAGCAGCAACTACCGAGTCTGGTTCACAACTACAAAGAGACTTGCAGCCTCGAGATCATCCAACTTGAGTTTTCTCACCAATGCCCTTTTCAAAAGCAAGGCGATAATTGAGTGTTATTATTTTTATTCAATTTCTGTGACCGCCCCCTCTCATCTAAGCAACTGACCATAAAAGCAAAACTCATGGTTTTCTGGGGTAGTCCTAGCTTCATCCTTTAAATTTTACCCCCCCCCCTTTTTTTTTCTTCCAATTTGCTCAACTACTTAATTTGCTTGGGCCTCACTCCTTTCAAATTTTAGGTATTCATAATTTCAATTTTCAAAGCTGAGCGACCGTACAGAAATTGGGTGCTGCTTACAATTCAAAAACTTTAAACGGAACGTCAACCAAAGCGATATATGAAGAGATTATCTTCTTCCCTTTGCATTTAATATTTTGCTTTAGAGAAACGGATCTTGGCTACGATGACTATAAACCCTTCATGTGTATATCGGAGGTGCTGACCCTTTGAGAGCTGTATGCAACGAAATTTCATTTTGATGTATGCCAATTGGTGTACTTTCAAAGTGACAATAAAGTTGTTATTATTATTATTCTTCATTATAATCCTTTAGTTCAGGTTTCTCTTCGCACACAAGGAAACTCAACCCTCCAGAAGAGAGTGAATTCCTTCACGGGCCAGGATCTGAATTCAAAACCAGCCTACACCGCATACAAACCTGGGTAATTTTTGACAAAGCTCTTGTACAGGTCAGCCAGCTTGTCAGGAGAGATGTATCGGCTAGGATCGTCTGGGGATTTGAAGTCCAGGTCATACTTCCCATCGCGGTAAAATTCAGAAGCCGCCACGTCCATTCCGATGACGATCTTATCCGTGTAGCCGGCCTTGCTGATGGCATTCTTCAACAGCTCCAGAGCTAAAAAAAAAAACACGAGCAGAGCCACTGAGCAAAGGACTGATTAACGATTAAGCAGAATAGAACAGAACATATGGAATGGAATAGAATAAAAAAATATGGAATGGAATAGACTGGAACAGAATGGCAGAGTTGGAAGGGACCTTGGAGGTCTTCTAGTCCAACCCCCTGCTCAGGCAGGACACTATACCATTTCAGACAAGTGGTTGTCAACTCTCTTCTTAAAAACACAGCCTTAACAACCCAGGCAAAGCCAATTACCTTCCTTGTTCTCCAGGATGTTGGGGGCAAATCCGCCTTCGTCGCCCACGTTGGTGGCATCCTTGCCGTACTTCTCCTTGATGACGTTCTTCAGGTTGTGGTACACCTCCGCCCCGATGCGCATGGCTTCCTTGAAGCTCTCTGCGCCGACGGGAAGGATCATAAACTCCTGCATAGCCAGCTTGTTCCCAGCGTGAGAACCACCGTTGATCACGTTGAAAGCCTTTGGAGACATCGAGGATCCCACCAAGAAGGTTTAAACAACCAGCCAGAGAGAACCAGCGTAAACCAAGTCAAGCTTCTAGTCCTTAACACTCCCACAACACGCCCTTGCCTCTAAGGATGATGCAGGAGCACCATTCCCATTTCCAGACATCTACAAAGAGACTCGACTTTCAACCAGTTGCTTAATTACTGTTTGAAATTATGACGCCTCCTCAAAGCTACTTTGAACCCAGTTTTGAAGTTTGGATGTCGGCTCCCTCCATGGTGATGTGACTGTACTTTGGATGGTCAGCAACCAAATTATTTAGGGGCCTTTGCAGTGCCCCACATTTACATGATGCTTTTGCCAGGAACCAGAATCTATTTCTGGTTTCCAGCTCAAACCAGCCCCTAGCTCAGGGGTAGGCAACCTTGGCTCTTTTATGACTCGTGGACTTCAACTCCCAGAATTCCTGAGCCAGCATGGCTCAGCTTGGAAACTCTCCCTTTCCCCTCAGTGTGGCTGGCTCAGGAATTCTGGGAGTTGAAGTCCACGAGTCATAAAAGAGCCCAGGTTGCCTAACCCTGCCCTAGCTGGTTGAATAAGTTCCTTTAATGACCCAGGGGTCACTTAAGAACCCCCACAAAGTAAAGGTCATACAAATGGGTTGGTCACCAGGTACCCCGCTGTACGACCATCCTGACGTATGATTGTGATTGCCAGGATCAATTACGGTCATAAATCAAGGGCTACCTGTATACCGAAAACACAAATATAGTCATCAATGAAAAAACTGACAAAGCCAGCCTCTGAGAATCGTCACAGTTCACATGCCCAACCCTTAATGTGGTGCTTGCACATGAAAAGGGAGTGAAGGGGTCTGGGGTTTGTTTATGGAGATTCTCCTTCATCCAGATCATGGTTGTCCCAAAAGTTGGTTTTTCAAGAGGCAACTGGACTTTCTGATTTTTTTTCCTTGAAGACGTTTCGCTTCTTATCCAAGAAGATTCTTCAGCTCTGACTGGATGGTGGGGAATGGAAGGATTTATACTCCTTGCAGACAGCTGGTCATTTGCTGGAGTACAAACCCTTCCATTTTCCACCATCCAGTCCGAGCTGAAGAAGCTTCTTGATGTGCCTCAAGGCAGAAGTTTTCCCCTTGCTGTGGAATTTGTTTTAAAATCACTGCAATCTCCGATCAATCCCCACATTCTACTGCCTAAAGGGGGAAAAAAATTCCCACAAGGGAAGACAATCAAATCCTCTTGGCAAGGGATTAACAAAGTCCTTCTCCATGAACTAATGCACGAACTAATAATTTGTGCACTGACGCTCAAGGATTTGATCTGCAGTTTCACTCTTGGCCCAGATTCTGCCTTCCGCACCGCAAAATATAAACTTACAGGCACTGGCAAAACAACTTCTTTGTTCCCGGCCAGGTCAGCAATGTGGCGATACAGAGGCACGTCCTTCTCCGCCGCACCAGCCTTGCACACCGCAAGGGAGACACCCAGGATTGCGTTCGCACCAAATTTAGCTGCCGGAAAGAGGGGGGGGGGGGTAAAAAAGAGGAATATTATTTGCTTGCAATCCACTCTCCCATCATTTGCTGCCTCTTCACATCTGGCACGTTTAAAATGAAGACAAGCAGATTTATACTTATTTTGGACTGGGATAGCTTTTTCTATTTCAATCTCTAGTGCCATCCCTTTCAAAATCTGGGGCTCCAATTAAATCCTCAACTAACAATAGTAGAGGGAATTCAACAAAGGAGCCCAAAAATTTCCATTGCTAAGTAGGACAGTTGTGACTTGTGCCCCAGTTTGTGACCCTTTTTTGCCACCTACATCAGCTGGCAGGGAACCATAGGTCATGCAGTCTTGATGAACTTTAAGGGCGCCACGTTGGGCTGCTCTGGACCCGCTCGCTTAAGGACACTAGTTTCACAGCCTCCAGGTTTATGATTTTTTTAAATTTTTGCCACTGTTGTTAAGCGAAGCACTACAAATCATTAAATGAATCATGCAGTTGGTAAGTGAGTCCAGCTTCCCCCATTGACTTTGCTTGTGGAAAGGCAGCTAGGAAGGTTGCAAATCACGCACAGGACCCCAGGATGCTGCAACGGTGATGATAAATACAGGCCAGTTGCCAAGCAACCAAATTTTGATCATGTGACCACAGGAGATGCTTAATAACAATAATAACAATAACAATAACAATAATAATAATAATAAAGTCGGAAGGGACCTTGGAGGTCATCTAGACCAACCCCCTGCTCAGGCAGGAAACCCTATACAATTTCGGACAAATGGCTGTCCAGTCTCTTCTTAAAAACTTCCAGTGTTGGAGCATTCACAACTTCTGGAGGCAGGTTGTTCCACTGGTTAATTGTTCTAACTGTCAGGAAGTTTCTCCTTCTTTCTTTCTTTTTTTCTTTCTTTCTTTCTTTTCTTTCTTTCTTTCTTTCTTTCTTTCTTTCTTTCTTTCTTTCTATCTATCTATCTATCTATCTATCTAATCTATCTAATCTATCTAATCTATCTATCTATCTATCTATCTATCTATCATCCCTCCGTCTCTAGCTAGCTAGCTATCCCTAGTCATAGATAAAGACAGAATAACAGAGCTGGAAGGGACCTTGGAGGTCATCTAGTCCAACTCCCTGCTCAAGCAGGAAACCCTATACCATTCCAGACAACTGGCTGTCCAGTCTCTTCTTTAAAATTTCCAGTGTTGGAGCATTCACCGCTTCTGGAGGCAGGTTGTTCCACTGGTTAATTGTTCTAACATTCAGGAAGTTTCTCCTTAATTCTAGATTGCTTCTTTCTTTGGTTAGTTTCCATCCGTTGCTTCTTGTCCTGCCTTCAGGCACTTTGGAGAATAGCTTGACTCCCTCTTCTTTGGGGCAGCCCCTGAGATATTGGAACACTGCTATCATGTCCCCCCTCGTCCTTCTCTTCGTTAAACTAGACATACCCAATTCCAGCAACCGTTCTTCATATATTTTAGCCTCCTGTCCCCTGATCATCTTTGTTGCTCTTCTCTGCACTCTTTCCAGAGTCTCAATAGTCGTAAATGGAAAACTGGTCCTTTTTTCAACAGTCACTAAATGTATGGCTATAATCAAGGGCTTCCTGCAACTAATAACTACTAATAAACAACCAATTAAGTCTAGATAATAAATAACTAGTCAGTTTTAACTAACAGCCGAGGTGGGCAGCTAGGAGACTGAGTGTCCAATCTCTGCCTTCTCCCCTTGCTAACCATTTTAATGCTCCAAATGGCCACCTATTACTTTGCAAATGATTGGGTCAAAGAGTAGGAAAGCAACCAGGGTATATCATTAGAGATTTTCAAAATAATTTCCCTCCCCATTGGCAGGGGTGCCACTTACACTTGTTCTCAGATCCATCCATGTCAATCATCAGCTTGTCGATTTTTTCCTGCTCCACCACACTTATATTCTGCAGGGGGGGATGGAAGAGAGAGGGAGGTGAGAAACCAATAGTAGTTCAGCTTATGATGCCCAGTCCTGGGCGATCAACTCCCCCCCCCCCCCGCTCATTGTGCCTTCTAATTCTATTAGAATTTTAACTTTAGGCAAATTTTAAGACCTGTGGACTTCAACTCCCAGAATTCCCCAGCCAGCCACGCCTTAACATTTGCCAAGGTCTGACACCCCTACTTTAAGCTATACAGTATAATGGCTGGCTGGGGGATTCTGGGAGTTTGAAGTCCACAGGTCTTAAAAAGTTGCCAAGGTTGGGCACCCGAGGCTTAAAGTTTAAAAGGGATCCTTTAGTGCCTTTTAAAACTTAAAAAAAGGTCAAGTATTTGACAATTGTGCCAGTAATAAACAATGGATTGAAAGGACCACATGATCCTGGGACCCAGCAACAGTCATTAAGTGTGAACCAGTTGCCAAGCATCTGAATTTTGATCACGTGATCATAGGGATGCCACAAAGGGTGTAACTGTAAAAAAAAGGTCGTTAATTCACATTTTTCAGTGCTGTTGTAACCTTGAACAGTGACTAAACAAGCTGTAGTTTACCTGTATTAAAATGTTTTGAGCATAAAACTGACACTTCCCATTTCAGCCACCCTACCCTTCCCAAATCGTGCAAGATGCTCGTTTTTAGCAACCCCCTCCCCAAAATGCAGACACTTTGCTCCTTCCGATGATCTTAAAACACACACAGGCACCCATGCAAAGGATTTTAAAAAAAAACACACACATTTTCCAATGCTGCAAAGCGCTCAGCCTACACTACAGGGTTAGTCAAACGAGGATCATGCCTACCTTGTTAACCAGGGCGGGTGCAATAGTTTTATTCACGTGCTCAACAGCTTTTGAGACACCTGCAAGGAACAACCAGATCCATCACTACACCCCAATCTCCCCCAAGGAATAACAGCCCATTAGTACAGGACGGCTCGGGCTGGCAGGCAAGCAATCAGGATTTCAGTCTCCTAGTCCTCAAGACAAGAGATTAAAAAGCGCGCAGGCCCAAGGTTGTTAAATCCCCTTTTTCTGAACAATGACGGAGAGCGGAGAAGCGTCATCCAGGAATGCCAGCGAGGAAGTCAGCCCCAATATCATGCAAGATAGTAGTAGTCTGGCAGGTGTGCATCCGTTACCTGAGTGCACAGTGCTGGTGCCAGGAACATATTAACGTACTTAACAGCTCTGGAGACACCTGGAGGGGGCCGAATTTGTGGAGGAAAAGAGAAGAGAGATGTAGAAAGAAAGGAAGAAAAAGATGAAAGCCCACAAAAAGAAAGGCAGAAGACCACCACATGCATGGAAGGGGGGGGAGTGCATGGATGAAATGCACAGCAAAAGAGACCCCTGTCACGGAGAGAGTGTATCTGACGTTTAATTCAACATCATTTTGTATTGGGTAACCCAACAAATTCAATCGCACTAAATCAACTGGATCTGCCAGATATTCAGAAAATTCCAACCGTGGCTCGTGTTATAAAGCTGTGGCTTCACGTTTGTTCCTAAATTTATCACCTATCCATCTATTTCTAAGCAGGGCGATCGTTTTAACCGACATCAAACCAAACCGTGGTTTGCGAGGCACTTCCAAGCTGACCGTGGCTTGCAAGACACCGTTTAATGCACAAGCTTTCTTTAATTGGGCAAATCTTAAAATAGGTTGCAGCATTACACTGCTTTTCTAAAGCCGAAAAGACACCTATGGATCCCATCTCTCTCTCTCTATTTTTTTGCAGTGCAACCAAATTGATTATATTTAGTTGTGTTGTGCATCTGAACAGTTAACATTTGCAATTGTGTGGTGAGTTTTCAAGTTGCGGTGACGTTTCTGGTTCGTGTTTCTAGTTGATGTTACGGGTTCAGCCTTAAAACTGGATTGTGGACTTTTAACACTAGAGAGCAAGTGGTTTAAAAGAATGAAACTTTATACTGAGCTAGATTTTTAATATATATAAAATGACACTCTAATTCAGCTTTGCAACTCTTGAGCAGGACGAATCTCCATTTTGTTTTTCCTTTGTTATGACACCGACTCGTTTTTCCCACGGATGGGTCTTGAAGCAGGCTGACAAGCCATCCATCCAGAATTTCCTAAAGCAGAGTGACCTGGGTGGTGTGTGTGTGTGTGTGTGTGTGAAGATCTTCCAGAAATGAAATCTTCCTTTTTCCTCCAAGATGATGGGAGAGCTTATGAAAAAACGGGTCACCTTATTCAGACTGGGATAGTATCAGGGTGCAAAGACCTAAAGCCATTTGCAAGGAGGTATTTACGTCTGAGCACGTCGGTGGGAACCATGTGTTCAATAAATATGGAATTATTCAAAGCAAAGCAGAGCCCTGATCGATGAATCTCAAATTAAAGCTACAGTAGCCACCACTACAGTAGCCACCTGGACTGCAAGGTGGTCAAACCGGTCAGTCCTAGAGGAGGTCAACCCTGACTGCTCTTTAGAAGGCCGGATCCTGAAGTTGAAACTCAAGTCCTTTGGCCACCTAACGAGAAGGAAGGACTCACTGGAGAAGAGCCTGATGCTGGGAAAGATGGAGGGCAAGAGAAGAAGGGGACGACAGAGAATGAGGTGGCTGGATGGAGTCACTGAAGCAGGAGGCGTGAGCTTCAATGGACTCCAGAAGATGGTAGAGGAAAGGAAGGCCTGGAGGAACGTTGTCCATGGGGTCGCAATGGGTCGGACACGACTTCGCAATTAACAACAACAAGCCACCATTAGCCGGAAGCGGTTACCTTTCCCCAGGAAGCGAGTTTTGTCATTGTCCCGGAGTTCCAGGGCTTCGTAGATACCAGTTGAGGCTCCGCTGGGAACAGCAGCTCGGAAGAGACCTGGAAAGAAAGGAGAACTCCATTTGTGGAGCTGAAGACCACAAATAAATAAAAAAAAAGATTTAAGAACATATTGGGGTGGGTGGGTGTGGGTGTGTCCCAGTTTTTCAAGGCAGCTTACCTTTGTTAGTGAAGAGGTCTACTTCAACGGTGGGGTTCCCACGAGAGTCGAAGATTTCACGGGCGTGGACCTTAAGGATGGACATTTTGTAGGTCTAAAGAGAAAGGACGAGGCAAAAAAACACAACACTTTTTTAACTTTCCAAACCCCAACGTAGCCACGTATTCCAGAAGCCAGGAAAGTGAAGCAAGCTTTTTCTAGCAAAAATGAAAGATATCTTTGGGTTCCTAAGGCAAGCGACCAGCTGCACATCAGCAAGCACACTGAGGACTAGAAACTTCGCTAGGCCTGTGCTCTTAAATTGCATGCCGCCCACAGGCACTCTTTAAGGGAGATAGGTGGTTAAGAAATCGTGAAGGAAGGAAGGAAGGAAGGAAGGAAGGAAGGAAGGAAGGAAGGAAGGAAGGAAGGAAGGAAGGAAGGAAGGAAGGAAGGAAGGAAGGAAAAAGAGAGTGCCATTCTCTTCACTCTTGATTTTCATCTTTTTTTTTTTTAAATAAATATAAATCTGGTTAGAAATCCAGTCTTCTGGACAAAATCTTCTCATTCTATTTTATCTGTCATTTATGGCCTATGAGGTTTTATGTAGGGCTGCTAAATGTGAACCACCCAATAGTCCTTGTTGCGATATGAACAGCCCGATCAATTGAGTAAATTTAAAAAATGCAGATGGGTTGGTGAACAGGACCTTGCAATAAGCACATCAATTGATAATATATATATATATTTTTTTAAAAAAGAACAACTCCCATCATCCACAGCTGGCACCGCATCCAGATCAGGGTTTATAGGGGCGACAGCCCACCCATCTAATCCACAGATTAATCTTAGATTCATCTTAGCTAGGAAGCAGACTCTGGTGGTGTCCTCTGGACCCAACCCACTGAAGGACAGACTAAAAATAATCCCATTTTTGTTCCTATTTCAACAGAGGAAAGGAGGTAAATTGATCCACAGGAATTTGAAGAAGGCAGACAAAAAGAACAATATTAAATGACCAGATCCTGCAGCTGCCCAGCTAAAATCTTTTAAATGTACTGGTGGGGGGGGGGAATAAAACAATTAACCACATTCCTTGCACTTCCAGGTTTTGCCCTGCAGAGAGAACTCTGAATATTTCACAATGCCAAAGCATGGAAAAGCCGGGCTTTACCGGAACAGAAGCCAGCGCCCTTGTGGGAATCCTTCCTCCAGCTAAGGTCACCTTCAAATTAAGCGCTGCCCTGAAAACACGCATGGAAAAAAGGATGCTTGAATTAAAATAATAATAAATCACGTGTCTGTTTCAGGCGGTGGGAGAATAAAATGGAGCCTCTCCCGGCAGGCAGGACGCACATCCGTGTGCTTGGAAACCAGCCTGCTCTCAAATGTCTCGCTTGATCTGACTCAGCATTTTATGTAACTGTAAAAAAAAAAAAAAAATCTTGCAGGAAATCAGAGTTCTGGAATCAGAATGACTCGGTTTCTCCCTTCGGCAATTGGAAAGTCAAGGATTTTTGCCTGCTTTTTTCCCTCCCTCACAGCCCAGAGGCGCAGATTCGCCTCTGGAGCAAGGAATAAAAATGTGGATCGATTGCTCCTAAGCCCAGCCTTCCCATCTGTTGGGACTACAGTTACCAACATTCCCGGCCCTTCTGGAGGGCGGTAATGGGAACTGGAGTCCCGCTTAGAACGGAAGACCAGAATGGAATAAATAAGCTGTTCTCGGTGGATCCAGATCGCAATTGTGGTTTGAGACAAGTCACCAAATCTCTGCCTTACTCTGCTGTACAGGGAGTCCTCAATTTACAACTGTCCATTTAGTGACAGTTCAAAATTACAACAGCACTGGGGAAAGCGACTTATGACCGTTTTTGGGCAACTGGCTCATATTTATGACCGTCGCAGTGTCCCGGGGTCGTGTGATCTTCTGACAAGCAATGGGAAAACCAGATTCATTTAACAACCATATTATCCTCTTAACTGCAATGATTTACTTAACAACTCTAGCACAAAAAAAGGTTATAAAATGGGGCAAAAAAAATCAAGTCTCAGCAGCGTAAATATTGGACTCAACCGTGGTCATAAATTGAGGACTACCTGTGTTCCACAGGTCTTTTTCCTTTGCTTACCAACCTATTTAAATTCTTTTTTCCAAGCTCCAGGGATCTCTCTATTCTGGGACCTTCTCCAAACTCTAAAATGAAAATCCAAGTAGGACACCACAACTCTTCCCTTCACCCTAGCTGACCATCTGGAGCTGCTCTAGGGATAAAATTACCCAGGAAGTAAAAAAAAAAAAGTTATTTCAGCTTCCCAGGAGAATATAATAAGCCTTAACCCTGAGGTGCTAACTTTCTACTGAAAGGGGATTCCTTCAGCAAGAAATGTTTTGGGTTACAGGCTGAATTTATATTACATTCTCACCTGTTGCACTGGCCTCCCCAAAGTCTTTTTTTAAAGACTGAGGGGGGGGGGTGTCTTCAAACTTGGCCCTTTTATGACTTGTGGACTTCCACTCCCAGAATTCCTCAGCCAGCGTGCCTGGCTGAGGAATTCTGGGAGTTGAAGTCCACAAGTCTTAAAGTTGCCAAATTTGAAGACCCCTGGACTGAAAGGATGAGAATTTACTATGCCTTTACTAATTTACTAAGTCCATATATCTTAAACCTCCTGAGCTTGAGAAATCTGCATTAAACCAGCTCTCAAACCTTCTGTTTCTCTCCAAATTTAAGCAGAAATTTGAATTTTCCAAGCCCTCCGGGAAAAAAAAGGTACAAGCACTCCCAATAGGAGCCAAAGGAAAGCTAGAGCATCCTTTCCCCACCTGCTGCTAGCTGGGCATTCTAGGTATCGGAGTCCGGTCTCCCTGCAGGCCACCAGCTGGGGGGGTCAAGCCCATCCAGAAGGTTGAGGAAGAGTTCCCACATTAAATATATTTTGGGAAGGCAGAAACGCTCAGGGCCCGTTGTAAAGTCTTTAAAGGAGTGTGCAACCTTCCCCATCGTGTCAACCAGGCAAAAGAATTAAAGGGTGATTAAGGCAACAAGTTAAATAAAACACACAATTAAACCTCACCGTCGGAGGACGTGACTAAGCCTCCCTCCCCAGGATGGGGAAATTTGGCTGCATGGCTGAGAATAAAACTCACACTTCGCCAAAGGAGGGGGTGGGCTGAGCCTGAATGGAAGGGTTTTTTTTAAAATATGCATTACGCAGCAACTGTCCTTCCCATCAATCATGGCTTGTCCTTGCTCAGGCAAGGGAAGGAAGCATGTGAGGCATGAAACCCGAGGTCCGCCTCCAGATGCTCCAGGCCATCTCCCCCTCTTCATCATTTCCGCCTTAAGAAAAGGGGGGGGGGGTGTTTTCTGCACGTGGTCCCCTTAAAGGAGGATCCCAAGGTCCATGTGCGAAGGATGCCCGCATCTCAGGCTACCCACAAGCCAGCCTGTTTTTTACAAAGGCAAATGGCTTCTGAAAAAGATGCCCAGTTTGGAAAGGCCTCTGCAGAACTCTACAGACACACACACAGCCCCCCCCCAAAAGATAATTTCCCCTGAAGATCAGGGTCCTGCTGCAGCTTATCCTAATGAATAAGAAAATAAAAATAAATTTGAATAAGACTAGCGGGGCAAATGAAGCCATCCCCCCCTCTCCTTCCTTTGCCTGCTGGTCTTGTTCAAATTTTATTTTCATTAAATCAAAATGAATTTGCAAGATGCAGAAAACTGCAGGGTTTCTGGGCAGGTGAGTGAGTAGGAGCAACAAGTTATAAAGAAAGTGAGGTCCCCCCTCAGCCCCTCCCCATTTTTACCCCTCTCTGCTGCCCTCCCCCTCCTGAACAAAGGGAAGGATAATAATAATAATAATAATAATAATAATAATAATAATAATAATAATAATAATAATAATAATAATAATAATAATAATAATAATAAAAAATTTAATTTATATGCCGCCCTTCTCCCAACGGGACTCAATCCATCTTGGACCGCCATGGAAGCCACAGGAGCTAAGAAGATACTGATCAAAAAAAGTGTCTTCAAGCATCCCTTTTTTTTAAAAAAAGTTTCCTTTTCTTGAGCCTTACAGCATCCTATTCGCTTTGCATGAGCTGAAACAGAACAATTTCTTTTTACTCTATTTTTTTCAGCTTGCATTGGTTTTAGGCTACAGGTTTTTCGACCTTCGACACCTGTTGGGACTACTGGACACCCCCCCCCCTCGCGCACCGACATCACCAGGCAGGGAACCATAGGTCATGCAGTCCTGATAAACTACAAGGGCGCCATGTTGGGCTGCTCTGGACCACTCGCTTAATGGAAACTAGTTTCACAGCCTCCAGGTGCCCACGATGCAAATCTTTAAAAAAGCATACTGAATAAGTATCAAATTAAATTAAATTGTTTTTAAAATGCATAATTAAATCCTGAAAATGGAAAGGAAGCTTGGGGGGGGTCCCTTTTTATTCCAGCAATGCAATCTTCGGAAACGTTTGCAAAAGGGCCGCCCCACCCTAAGACACACTTATTTCCTTTTCCTCGCAAAAGAAAATTGCAAAACGTCTTGACCACAGTTTGCAAACGTCTGAAAGGAAATTTATATATATATATATGTATATATTTTGCTGCAAAATATTCCCCCCTATCCTCCAAAGCAAGCGCTTTCCCAACTTACCTTAGGCTAAGCTCTCGCGCTGCAGCAGCACCTAAGGAAATAAATTGCAATAGTGGTGTTTTTTTTTTTAATTAAAGAAAATCTAATCACTGCAACGCGGTTCGCCTCGCGCAGCCGGGGAACTGGAGAAGAGGCGGCCGGCGCGCGCTAAACTATACCCCAGTCCATGCAGATGAGATGTCTCGTTGCGGCTTGTCATTGGCCGGCCGCGCCGCCCTGCCGCCCGCCGATTGGCCAACGGGGCCTCTCGCCAGCTCAGCCTCTTGGCGCGTGCGCTACGTGCTCGGGCACCTTCTGCTTTACGCAGTCGCGTGGGCGGGCCTAATCCAGTTTAGTTTCCTTTTTTAATTTCTTTAGAGAGAGAAGTGGAAAAAAAAACCCCATTTTGTAAAGATTTTGAACACGTTTTTATTTCATACCTTTTTAAAAAAAAAATAATTATCCATGCGTTGTACAACGCTGGTAGCTTGGAAACTGGAATATTCATCTTGCACAGAAATAATTATTTTAAGATAATTATTTTGCAAAAGATGGAGTGATGGACTGTGGTGTTAAAACTTTATAATTGTATCCAATAAGCCAAACACCAAAAAGCTTATTGATTCTAAATACCCATTCCGCCAAACTTGAGTAGTACAAAAGATTACAATTGAATGCAGAATTTAACACTAACGAAAACAAAACTTCTAAGGCGGTACCTGAAGTTTGTAAAATTGTAGCTTTAAACGTGATTTAGCTTTTTTTAAAAAATAAAAAAAATTCACTACTTGATGTGTTCGCTTTAGTTATTTCTCAGTGCTTCTGTGCTAATGTTTACCCTGAAAGGGAACTATAATAGAGATGGATATCTGTAAAATGTAAGCCAAGGAACCGATGTGTATTTGAAGAATCCGAAAATGCTGTTTTCCAAACCTCAGTTGAATTGCTTCTCTCATGCCTGTAAAACTCCAGTTTAATCACTTGTTTAACACAGACAGGGTTAGACTAACTTGATCAAAACTCAGTTACAAGAGCTTTGCAAAAAAAAATACTTACGAAAATTAATGAGAAAACATCTTCTGAGCCTCTTTGTTGGGTCTAACTTGCCTAGAAAGCTGTTGTTGTTGTTGTTGTTGTTATTATTATTATTATTATTATTATTATTATTATTATTATTATTTTTAAAAAGAGGCCAAAACAATATGCAACCTTCACCATTGAAAAATTGGGTGCTGTCTTTTCTGACAGACCCCGAACAGATTCACACAACCTCTTCCCCCCCCACACATCCTAGTCAAACAAGATGCCATTTCACCTAAGAGCTGGTACCCCAACAAATAAACCAGTTTATGGCTTAGTAGGAAGGTTGGATTAAACCCCTGCCGTAAATTATGTCCTGAACGAAGAGACGGAATGAAGTGGCAAGTTCAGCCCTTTTTAGTAGCTTCAGAGAAGGAATTGGGCTCAGCCTTGCAATGAATTTCTAGTAGCAATAAAACGCCGAAAGTTCTTGCTTTGGCCAAGTGCTGGAATTATTTTGTCCCAGCATCCCTTTTTTTCTAAACAACAATATTGTGCTGTGAGGCTGCTAGTGTGTGTAGAGATACACGGGGGTTTGTGTTATTATTAAGGTCATTCAGCCACTCGGTTTTCTGGGAGCATCTGGAAGGATCGTGGTCAGAATTGGGAATTTGGGCGGCTTCTTTTAAAAACAATGGACATCTGGGGTTCCAGAGGTGATGGGCCAGAAGCTATATACCTTGCTGTCATCTCTGCCAGAGGTTTGGATGGCTTAAGGGGATGGTCCGGCGAGATCTTAGCTGGAAAAACTTGCTTTGACAGGCAGGTTTTGCATTCTGAAATAGGGAACGCAGATTGTAAAAATAATAACAATAAAAATTAAAAAGGATGCGGGTTTTGAACTTAGAGCAACCAGATCTGCAGCAAATCCGAGCCATTTGCTGGAGGAAATCTGAATGCCGCAACTTCAGAACACACGTGCGACTGGGACTGCAAAGATAAGGTTTGGAAATGTAAGGATTGCAGCCCGCGCTATTAAAACCGATATGTGGTTTATTTTTATCTCGTTTAGCCTATCCTACAAGCCCAACTCCTTGTGGCTAAGTCCAAACCACAGTCCGCCAGATCTCAGCTTATCAGGGTGAGCATTAATTTGCAAATGCAGCTAGATTTATTCATAGAGGCCTACAAAACACGCAAGGAGAGATCACACCTATTTTCCCGAGCACTGGAAAACAAGCCAAGAAACAAGGGATGGAAACTAATCCAGGAGAGAAGCAACCTAAAAAAGGAGGAATTTCCCGACAGTGAGAATAATTAACCCGTGGAACGGCTTGCCACCAGAAGTTGTGGGTGCTCCATCACTGGAGGCTTTTAAGAAAAGATTGGACCACTATTTGTCCTAGGGGGTTGAGGGGGTTGAACAGGGGGTTGGACTAGAAGATCTCCAAGGCCCCTTCCAACTCTGTTAAAAAGTTGGAAAAAAAGTGGGCAGCCGATCAGAAGGAAAAGAGGAAGTTTTAAAGCTTAGGATCTGCCTCTTGTGATGTCACAAAGACAGAGAATATTGGCCACAGCCAAGCGCAAAACTCCACAGCTGGTTCCGTTTCAATGGCTCTTAGTCCACTCTGTCCACCTCAATCCAGACCCACATTCAATTCCTTTATTTTTTTTAACACTGATTGACTCCCACGCAGATTCCCCTCCTCGCACCTATCTGGAGCAAAATGTCCACCAAGAGCTAAGAAAAAAATTAAGAGAGCTTTGCCATTCCACCAGAACAAGAGAGGATCGGGACCGGCAAGTAAGTATCCCTTGTGTTGAAGCGTACACATCATAATTAAAAGTGAATTTGTCTTGCGGGGATAGTCTGTGCTTTGCTGGGTCAGCAAAACCCGTGCAAATCCTCAGCCCCACTTCCAAATTGGTATGTTTTCTTGGTTCGTGTTGTTTTTCTTTTTCCAAATGTAAATTGTGGTGCCTAGCTGCTTTGGCGTGGAGGGTTTCTATATTTATGAGTTCAACCTTTTTTTTTTTTTTTCTATTGTGAAAAAGACCCCCTTCATGCCCCAGTCCTCCTTGAAGCCCCTCTTTGGGGGTGAGAACACCAAGCCAGGAATCCTGGTTTATCACTCACAACAGTGCCATTTAAAAGCCGAGATCTAACAAAGCATCATGGGGCTTGATGCGTCCTTTCTCTCTTTCTGCCCAGTTCCAAAAAGATTTAGAAACCTACTGGCAAGCTGGCCATTTATTTCCCTTTTCTATCTTGAAACCAAACATAACTTTGCCCCCTAAAACAATTATCATCTATAATTTATCATCTTTTGATGCTGTGCTAGAACATTTTTTTACTTTGTCTCCTCCACTGCCTCTGCTTTCCATCTGGGCAGCCAAAAATGATTGCGTTTATCTCTAGAAAAAAAAATTGGCTGGCTGGCATTTGCAAAGGTGGAAGGGGAAAAAAAAAAACCCCACCTCTCTGTAATATTCAAATGGAAACTGCATTGTCTTTGATTCAGGGGACCTAGCCAGAAACAGCACGCGACCCGATGGAAATTTTAAAAACAGCGAAAACTAAAAGGGGTTCTTACACAACGAGGCCGTTTCCAGAAAATATGACGATTATTCCTTTGCATTCCTTCCCTTTCTCTGACCCTGCCACTTGAAAAGTCTGGGTTTTTATTTTTCCTTTGGGGAATGGGTGGTTTTCAAAATGCAGGATTTAAAAAAAAGGGTTTTTGATCGGGATGGTTTGCCTCGCAGCAAGGAATCGGGGCGTCCCAGTTAGAAAGCAGGTTTTAAATTGGAATAAATAAAGATAGTTTAGTTGTTAATTCCTGGATGTTTTCCCCTGGTTTTTGAACTTTGAAAATCCTGCAGATTAAGAGGCTGCTAAGTTGAAATAAATAGAGCAAAATAAAAAATGCACAATTTGAGCTTAGGGGAAAGGGGGGGGTTGCTTGGCAAGACTTGGTCTCTACTCAAGTCCCCAATAGTCCTCGGCTTATAACCATTTATTTAGTGACCGTTGGAAGTTAGAACGGCGCTGAAAAAAGTGACTTATGACCCTTTTTCACACTTACGACCGTCGCAGCGTCCCCGATGGTCACGTGATCAAAATTCGGACGCTTGCAACCCTATTTATGACGGTCGCAGTGTCCCGGGATCACGTGATCCCCTTTTGCGACCTTCGGGCAAGCCAAGTCAATGGGGAAGCTGGATTCATGTGTTACTAACTCAACAACTACAAGATCCCCTTAACGACCGTGGAAAGGAGGAAGGTCGTAAAAGGGATCAAGATTCCCTTGCTCGGCCGTGGAAATTTGGCATTCAGTCGTCGTAAGTCGAGGACTACCTTCCCTTTGGACCCTGAGTAGATTGGCTAAGATCGTCTTCTTGCCGAGAGACCGGCCTGATTTTTTTTTCTCCTGAAAATATCGCTTGAGCCCTGAACTTTAGCCTTTGCTAAAGAGACAGGCAATCCAAATGAGGATTGTCGTACATTTGGGATTGTATTACAACAGGCGGGACTGGACTTTAAGCCCTGTGGAAATAAGGCTGAGCTATGAAAAGTTTTCGCAGGATCCAATCGGAGTCGGTCACCAGGACCAAAGATTTATCCTTCCAAGCTTTCGGATTGGTTCCGCGGCCCATCCTCCTGGGAACTGCTCCGTCTCCAGAAAGTGTGCACTGCGTGGTATTTATAGGGTGCCTGGTTGATTGTGGCTTTTAGTTTTTAATTGGGGCGTTGATAGCCGGCTATTAAGTTGTTGATTGTTGTTTCCGTGGCTCCTAAGCGCCTGAATGGTAAATCATTCCTGACCTGTTTCCCAGGCTTCAATAATTTCCCTGGCTATTTTTGTCCCTGCTCTGCCAACAATATGAACGTTTTCTCCCCACGAAGGTAAAGTTACCCCCAACTTTGCATCTAGAAAGCTAGCCCCTCAGGATATGAGGGAGCCTGAAGTCCGAGGGGCTCACTTTTCCTTGAAGGGAGGGGGGCCGTTGCATAACTCCCAGCCAAGAGGGGATTACGGCCGGTAGCATCTGGAGACAGGTTGGGGCTGTCAGTTGTCAGAACGTCTCCTTTGCCCACTCATCAGGTTTTCAAGGACGGGCTTTTAAGGAGACCTTCCCCAAAAGCTCATAAAAGGCCAGCAGCAGTTTTGTCTGTGTGTGTGTGTGGTTTTTTTTGGCTTGCTCTGCAGAGCGGCAGAATGTGCAGAGATCAAACCAGGGCCCAGAAGGCATTTCATAATCCTGCAAAATCCAGTTGGGTAAATAGTCCTTGAAAACTGCTGACCAGGAAATGCCAGCGATTCAGGCCAGCTCCCAAATTGCCCAGGAGACCCAAACAAAGAATATCAAGGTCCCGAGTTGCATCGGGAAGGTTAAAACCGGTGTCTCTCAAAGCTTGGCAACTTTCAGGTGTCTGGTCTTCGACTCCCAGGATTCCCCAACCAGGCCCTTTGGTTTTTCAGCTTAGAACGGAAAAAGACACGGCACAAAAAGAAAGAGGGCTGAGGAGGGAAGAGGAAAAATCAAGGTAGCCAACCCAGTCAAGCATCCCTGGGAGCCTGCTGGCTGGGGACTGCTGGGAGTTGAAGTCCCAGCTATGATTGAGAAATAGTGGCTTAAATTGTCCCTTTCAAGAATGGGGACGTTACACCCTTCCAGGGCCCAGACGTTTTGCTTAGAACTGGATGTGACACCACCGGGAGATTTTGCCTGTGTTGCAAAACAAATGAAGTGGAAGGAACTTTCCAAAGAAAAATAGCAGTTATTATGAACGTGGCACATTACACGTCTGTGAAAATCCCCAGGAGCTTAGCTCAGTCAAAAGGAATAGTCATCTTTTCAATGTTTTGGGTCTCCGGCTCAAATTGTTTACTTTTCTTCTGCAGAGGGGAGAGTAAGGATTCCCTGAAGGGAAAGAGGGAATCTCTTAATGGGAAGAGTAGACCCCCAGAGCGATCCATACTTGTTTTCCAGAATCAAGCTTTTCAAACATGTCAGCAACGACCTCTTACAAGGGGTAAGATTTCCCCCTATTTCCAAACACACAAGCTACCTTATACAGATAGTACAGACTTACAACCATGATGGGATCACGTGATCCCCTTTTGCGACGTTCTGACAAGCAAAGTCAATGGGGAAGCCAGATTTACTTAACAACCGGGTCCTTACTTAAGAGCTGCAGTGATTCTCTTAGCCACTGCGGCAAGAAAACACTAGCAACAGCCCTTAGACTTATATACTGCTTCACAGCCCTCTCTAAGCGGTTTACAGAGTCAGCAAATTGCCCCCAACCATCTGGGTCCTCATTTTCACCGAGCTCGGAAGGATGGAAGGCTGAGTCAGCCTTGAGTCGGTCAGGATCGAACTACAGGCTGTGGGCAGAGTTTGCCTGCAATGCTGCATTCTAACCACCGCCCCACCATAGCAATAGCACTTAGACTTATATACCGCTTCACCCTGCTTCACAGCCCTCTCTAAGCGGTTTACAGAGCCAGCAAATTGCCCCCAACAGTCTGGGTCCTCATTTTCACCGAGCTCGGAAGGATGGAAGGCTGAGTCAGCCTTGAGTCGGTCAGGATCGAACTACAGGCTGTGGGCAGAGTTTGCCTGCAATGCTGCATTCTAACCACCGCCCCACCATAGCAATAGCACTTAGACTTATATACCGCTTCACCCTGCTTCACAGCCCTCTCTAAGCTGTTTACAGAGTCAGCAAATTGCCCCCAACAGTCTGGGTCCTCATTTTCACCGAGCTCGGAAGGATGGAAGGCTGAGTCAGCCTTGAGCTGGTGGAAACTCGAACTGCTGGCAGCCGGCAGAGTCAGCCTGCAGTTCTGCCTTCTAACCACCGCGCGCAGCACGGCTCGGTGGTCAAATGAAGCAAAACTCACTTAATGGCTAGCAGTGGAAATTTGCAGCTCAACTGTGGTCTTAAAGGCGAGGACCACCCGTAATTTATTTTTATTTTTTCCCCAAAATCGGTGTAATTTCTCAAATGCATCTGAGTGTTATGGCTAAGTTCTTCCCGCTGGCCATTAAGCAGGCCTCTGCGAGTGTTTGCTTTCTGCATAAGGCGTCGACTTCCAGGTACATCAAACATTAATGCTTGCAGGATGCCCATCAGCCTAGCCAATCAGAGAAGCCAAAGACTGTGGGTGATGCCTACAACTGAGAAAACCCAGAGAACAAACCCCATCACAGCCTTGCTTCCCCTGACAGCTCCTACTTGTCTCCGTCACTATTTTGTGGTCTTCTTACTGGGTCTATTAGAAGCGTAGCCGTCTCTCCCCAATCCACAATATAATTAACTTTCTCACCCAGCAGAGGAAAATAGAATATCTGCTCTTGTTTTGGCAGGAGAAAAGAGGCTGGATTTAAGTAAATTATTATTTACCTTTTCGGGGGGGTTCGACAAAAACCAGCGGATCCAGCTTTCGGGGGTCGATTTCACGGAATCATGAGGACTAGCGTCTGGGTGCTCCAGCTCTGCTTTCTACACCTAAGCTCTTCCGATATCTTGGACTGGACGTATCACGGTAAGGAGGAAAGAAAGAGGGAAGGTGGGGAGGGAGAGCAGAAACGCCTTTGGCTTTCAACTATGGTCTATTTTAAGGTGGCAAATCGTTGCAGCATGGTTAAATATTGGCTTCCCAGACTGGGACTACAATCTTAGTTACTCCTAGTTACTAAAGAGAGCCAAATTTGGTCTTGTGGTTAAGGGTTAGGGTCAGCTAGAAAGCAGGAAGCCCGCATTGCAGGTCCTGTTTGCAAACAACGAAAATGTGTGAACTCTTATGCCGTTCTGATGGTGCACAATTAGAGCAAAAATTAAATTAGTATGCAGTACTTTATTTTAAGAATAATTCCTTTAGACCTTCACTATGAGAGTCTAAGGATGAGCTTCCCTGCTGGGGATGAATTAGGAATTGCCCAGCAGATCTGGAGTGGACCTGATTAAGGGAAGGAGGGAGCAAAGACCTACAGATGGGTTTTGGCATCCTATTAGCTCACCTGTGCACGTCCCCAAACATCTGCCAGCCTGCAGCACCCCTGGCTTCAAAATCAAGCTAAACCTCTTTTGAACAGCCTCCACATCTGCATGTCATTTGCCTCCCTTTCAAACCAGGTAAGTTCCCTCCACCTGCCCCCCCCCCACACACCCAAAACCTTTCTTAACATCTCCCAACATCCCAGAGATGGCTGCTGCCTTAGGGTTAATTTTGGAATCGGGTCTCTTCGGATGCCCAAATTCTTGGCAGGCCTCCCAAGGTGGAGATGTTGTTTTGAGCAAAGGAATGGAAAAAATTGAGTAGAGATTCCCAATCAAGCAGAAATTCAAAAGAGCAAGCCTGTGCCGGTCGCTTTTCGTTTTGTCTTTCTGTCTCTCCTGATCTGTCAAATCCAAAAGAACGCTTTGCGACATTTTTCCTTCTTCAGGGGGAGAAACTTAGGAAAATATGCTAAAATATTGTTCTATCTGCTGCGAGAATTCTCTGTTCCATACATAAAGCCAGCCAAAGGTTAATGCCTCTGGGACATCGATATGGAAGGAAGTTAAATCTGCTTTTAATTTTTTTATTTTTTATTTATTAAGAAAGTCCAAAGGAGAAACTCTATGAGAGGAGAAAAAAATTCTTCCCTGGAGATAGTTTGTTCCAGTAATCTTTCTCCTCTGTTAGTGCCCTCTAATAGGGATCAATCAATACTTTTCACTCCTGATGGCGAAGAAGCTACCCTAAAAATTGGGGAGGGAGCCAAGAAAGATTTTTAGACCCATTGCAAAACAGAGCTGAGAACCTGGACAGTGGGGAAAAGGGAGCACTTAAGAGGCCGAAGAATTATTTAAAGGCTAAAAAAAGAGGTTTATTATAGCCAAGAAGGAGCCTTGATAATCTGTCGATCCTCCCTCTCTCTTTTTTTTACAGGAGATCTCTGGAGAGCCTAGAAATTATCTCCAGATTTCCTCCCATCACCACTTTCCCCATCAGAAATCTTTCCAAGCACTTGCCAGGACCCGCTGTAGGGTTTTGACTCACATCATTGATAAAGAATATTTCTGGTTGAAATGGGGGGGGGGTCCCTTGGTGCTCTCTGAGCAAGTTTTTTTTTTCTTGCAGGCCTTTTATTACCCACCTAAGTAACACCATCAGTGCTAGAAGGGAGTGGGGTCTGACAAAGCCTACCCCCCCCTCCAGCACAGAGGTTTTACCTCATTTGGGTAATGAAACATCTGCAAGAAAACCACCCACCGCAGAGAGTGCACAATATACTTTTGGTTTCATTTAGTAAATAAGGAAAAAAAATTATTGTAGGAGATACGAACTTACATTTTTTTCTTTAAATAAGAAGCCGGCTGATCGAACGTCTCAACATAAGTTTTCAGGAGAGAGAGGACACATCTCTATGTGTTTTTTTGTTTGTTTGTTTTCCTCTTCCTTCATCCTCCCTCTTTCCTTTCTTGTCATGTCTTTCCCATTTAAATCAACAGGCTCATTTCTGCTAACTTTCCAGGCAATCTGGAAGCGGTAAAGCAGGGATCTTCAAACTTGGCCCTTTGATGACTTGTGGACTTCAACTCCCAGAATTCCTCAGCCAGCGCGCTGGCTGAGGAATTCTGGGAGTTGAAGTCCACAAGTCATCAAAGGGCCAAGTTTGAAGACCCCTGCTGTAAAATGCTTGCTTATATAGGACTCAAGCTTTTATATAGGACTCAAGTTTATATAGGACTCAAGCTTATATAGGACTCAAGCTTATATAGGACTCAATCTTCTGTGCTATGCCTTTTTCTCTCCCTCCCTGGCCCAACCCAAGGGGAACACAGTGAAGACGAATGGGGAACGTACTTCGAACACTGCCTGGGGAAACTGCAATCCCCCATCAATATTCAGAGGTCGAAAGCCAGATTTAATCCCGATCTGGAACCGCTGCAGCTCCAGGATTATGGCTACCGCCGTGACGCATTCAAGATGACCAACAACGGCCATTCAGGTGAATAATGAGGGGGGGGAAGCAAAATCCTAGAACAGGGGTCTTCAAACCTGGCCCTTTTATGACTTGCGGACTTCAACTCCCAGCTGGCTGAGGAATTCTGGGAGTTGAAGTCCACAAGTCATAAAAGGGTTGAGTTTGAAGACCCCTGTCCTAGACTTCTGATCTAGCAATCCGGTGATTAAAGAGCTTGCAAGCAAGAGTCATTTTAATTTCTAGCTTAAAAAAAGAAACCTGGAGCTTGGGAGAGCAAAAAAGATGATTAGGGGGCTGGAGGCTAAAACATATGAAGAACAGTTGCAGGAATTGGGCATGTCTAGTCTAATGAAAAGAAGGACTAGAGGTGACATGATAGCATTTTCCAGTATTTGAGGGGGCTGCCACAAAGAAGAAGGGGGTCCATTTATTCTCCAAAGCACGTGAAGGCAGGACAAGAAGCAATGGATGGAAACTAATCAAGGAGAGAAGCAACCTGGAACTAAGAAGAAATCAGTGAAACGACTTGCCTTCAGAAGTTGTGGGTGCTCCATCACTGGAGGTTTTTTTTATAAGAAAAGACTGGACAGTCTGTAATGATATTAATATAGGGTCTCCTGCCTGAGCAGGGGGTTGGACTAGAAGACCTCCAAGTGCCCTTCCAACTCTGTTATTCTGAGCATCTCCCTCTGTAATCCATGGGATTCGTTTTTGCTCCTATCCAGAATTGGGTTTAAAAAGCAGAATAATCTCTTCCCCTGAGCTTCAAGACAACCACTTAAAGCAAGCTCTAAGATCACTACCTACCTATCTTTTTAAATAATAATAATAATAATAATAATTTGAAAGCTAATTGCCCCGTTTTGCGCTGCCAGGCTTTATTTATTTAAATGCCCCTTCCAATCTTGCAATTGCCTGAGCTTGCAAGAATCACAACCTGAAAGCCAAAAGGCAGCAATCAAAGGCAATAAAATCTGAATCAATTATAGTGGGTGGTCAATTGAAGTCTCCACGTCAACCCACAATATTACATAGCATTGGCTCCCCACAAAGCTTGTGGTTTCACTGCCTTTTGCCAGCTAAATGAGAGGTTGTCGGAGTTGGCCCCAGTCTGTCTACTGAAGGGGGATGAATTTCCAGAGAACTTCAATGGGCGACAGGGACTTTTCTGTAGTGGCTCCTGCCCTATGCAAGGCCCTTTTTCTCTCTCCCCCCCCCCTCTGCAAAATGCTAAGACCAGCCCTGTTGTGTTTTTAGGCTTTGAAGTCCACATCTTTTATAAGCCACTTTACATGTAGTCCTTGACTTCCCATTCATTTAGTCACGCTTCAAAGTTAAAGCGACACTGGAAAAAGTTACTTAAGACCGGTTCACCCTCCTGCGTGAAAATATAGGCAGTCCTCGACTTACAGCAGTTCATTTAGACTGTTCAAAGTTACATCACTAAAAAAAAAAAAGGACTTACGACCAACTTTCTCGGTTACAACCATCCCCACAGTCACGGGATCAAAATTCAGATGCTGGGCAACGGGTTCATACTTACGACCGTCGCAGCGTCCTGGGGGTCACGTCATCCCCTCTGGCGACTTTCTGACAAGCAAAGTCCACGGGGGAGCCAGCTTCACTTAAGAACCGCAGTGACTATGGCGAGAAAAGTCGTAAAATGGGACAAAATTAGCTTAACAAAGGACTGACTTGTACAGTGGGAAAGGACAGGATTTTTATAATAAAATACGTATACAGATCCCAAGGATGTTGCATGCTAGCTAGTCTGCATTCAGTAACCAGAACTAACTTTTTAGAGACTTTTCTGGAGCAGTAAAAAATGGCATTTTCCCTTCTCTCCGCGGCTCCCAAACCTCATTATATTTCTAAGCACAGTGCGGTGTTCTACCCGAGATTAACGCTAAGCATACTCGACTTTAAACCTGTCTGAACACAGGATTAAAATTGGGGCGGGGGGGACGCAAGGCAGCTAAAGCAGAGCCCCGTTTTAAACAGGATTAAAATCGGGGTGCAAGGGCAGCTAAAAAACGAGCCCCGTTTTAGCCTCCCTGCAGGGAAGCGGTCCAGGTCGACCAGATTAAAAGAAAATCAGCAGAAATGTTATTGGCCAACGGCCCGCTTGCTTTTTTTAATTTGCACGCGGCTCCGGTCGTGATCCATTCATTTCTGTCCCCGTCATCATTTTCTTTATGTCCTTCCACATTCTATCTGGCTAATTTTGTGCTGATTTTTCCCAATCCGCTGGAAAAGCTGGTGGGCACGCCAGAAACAACAGAGGTTTGTACAAATGCACGAGGCATTAAAAAAAAAAGAGAGAGAGAAAAAAATAACAACAAAAGCACAGATCCAACATTACGGATGAATGGAGATATTGCTAGAATTTGGGATTATTGCAGAATACCCAGCGCCCGGTCTACCCATATTTTTTTTTTTAACTTGCTGATATACTGTAAAACCAGGAACGCTTTATCTTCAAAAGCAGCCTGGAAAAGGAAAAGGGAGAGAATCAGGGTCGTGTGGGGCTTCGGTGTGGAAATATACAACTGGACCTTCGGCAGCGAGAAAGAACGGATGAGAGACCACTAAGAGATTCTGCGGGTTCAAATCTAAACTCAAAAAGGGAACTTTGCTGTAATTTTGCATTCCCATTGAATGGAAAAAAATCAGGAATTACTGGAAGCCGAGGTCAATTCGATTCTCCTAAATATGGTTTAAGTGGTGTCCCGGTTCACTTCCTTGGTAAAATAATCTTATTTACACGCAGACATCCCTTTCAAAGCACAGGCTAAAATCTTCCAAATTCTCCTTATTTTCCATCCCTAACCAAAGGCCCTGATTTCTTTTCTTTTTTTTCCCAACCTTGGCAACTTTCAGGGAGCTGGTGTGAAATTAAATCACAAAAGGAGGCACTTTTGGAAATGGTGCTTGGGAGGAATCGCTCTTGTGTGAACTGCCCCCAAGACTAGGGACTAGCAGCCTGACTTGCACAATGGCCATCTTTAAAACTGCCGGATGGAAAAAGAGGATGTGTTAATGGGATGAGCAAGACAAGTATGGTGGGGAGGAGTATAGCAAAAAAAGAGAGGGCTATACCAGGTAAGGCAAGCTTGACCTTTGCACTTGGGCTCATTCTGACAATCCAGGTCAGCATTTTGCAAGTTAGTGCTGCCAGAACAAGCCAGGAATGATAGGTCTGAGGCAGGCATCAAGGTTAGAAACAGGGATAATGCAGATAGCTCTCGATTTAACCACCATTTGTTTAGTTCAAAGTTATAGGGACACTGAAAAAGTGGCTTACGTGATCATGTCACATGATCAAGGTTTGGGAGATTGGTAACTAGCATATATCTATTTATGACAATTGCACTGTCCCAGGGTCATGTCATCGCCCTTTTTAAATCCCCCTTTCCAGTTGTCATAGACCTTCCTTCGTCCATGAGGATTATAAAAGGCCTGCCCGGGAAATTCACAGCCATCCAGCTGCACCTTCACTGGGGGGGCACGGAGAAAGAGAGCAGCGGATCCGAACACACCATCGATGGATTGCGGTACATGGCTGAGGTGGGTCACTCCGTTTCCCTCTGGAATTANTGGGAGAGCAAAAAAGATGATTAGGGGGCTGGAGGCTAAAACATATGAAGAACAGTTGCAGGAATTGGGCATGTCTAGTCTAATGAAAAGAAGGACTAGAGGTGACATGATAGCATTTTCCAGTATTTGAGGGGGCTGCCACAAAGAAGAAGGGGGTCCATTTATTCTCCAAAGCACGTGAAGGCAGGACAAGAAGCAACGGATGGAAACTAATCAAGGAGAGAAGCAACCTGGAACTAAGAAGAAATCAGTGAAACGACTTGCCTTCAGATATTGTGGGTGCTCCATCACTGGAGGTTTTTTTTATAAGAAAAGACTGGACAGTCTGTAATGATATTAATATAGGGTCTCCTGCCTGAGCAGGGGGTTGGACTAGAAGACCTCCAAGTGCCCTTCCAACTCTGTTATTCTGAGCATCTCCCTCTGTAATCCATGGGATTCGTTTTTGCTCCTATCCAGAATTGGGTTTAAAAAGCAGAATAATCTCTTCCCCTGAGCTTCAAGACAACCACTTAAAGCAAGCTCTAAGATCACTACCTACCTATCTTTTTAAATAATAATAATAATAATAATTTGAAAGCTAATTGCCCCGTTTTGCGCTGCCAGGCTTTATTTATTTAAATGCCCCTTCCAATCTTGCAATTGCCTGAGCTTGCAAGAATCACAACCTGAAAGCCAAAAGGTAGCAATCAAAGGCAATAAAATCTGAATCAATTACAGTGGGTGGTCAATTGAAGTCTCCATGTCAACCCACAATATTACATAGCATTGGCTCACCACAAAGCTTGTGGTTTCACTGCCTTTTGCCAGCTAAATGAGAGGCTGTCGGAGTCGGCCCCAGTCTGTCTACTGAAGGGGGATGAATTTCCAGAAAGTTTCAGTGGACAGGGACTTTTCTGTAGTGGCCCCTGCCCTATGTAATGCCCTTTTTCTTCCTCCCACCCCTGCAAAATGCTAAGCCCTGTTGTATTTTTAGGCTTTGAATTCCACATCTTTTATAAGCCACTTTACATGTAGTCCTTGACTTCCCATTCGTTTAGTGACGGTTCAGAGTTAAAGCGACACTGGAAAAAGTTACTTAAGACCGGTTCACCCTCCTGCGTGAAAATATAGGCAGTCCTCGACTTACAGCGGTTCATTTAGACTGTTCAAAGTTACATCACTAAAAAAAAAAAAAGGACTTACGACGAACTTTCTCGGTTACAACCATCCCCACAGTCACGGGATCAAAATTCAGATGCTGGGCAACAGGTTCATACTTTACGGCCGTCGCAGCGTCCTGGGGGTCACGTCATCCCCTCTGGCGACTTTCTGACAAGCAAAGTCCACGGGGGAGCCAGCTTCACTTAAGAACCGCGGTGACTGTGGCGAGAAAAGTCGTAAAATGGGGCAAAATTAGCTTAACAAAGGACTGACTTGTACAGTGGGAAAGGACAGGATTTTTATAATAAAATACGTATACAGATCCCAAGGATGTTGCATGCTAGCTAGTCTGCATTCACTAACCAGAACTAACTTTTTAGAGACTTTTCTGGAGCAGTAAAAAATGGCATTTTCCCTTCTCTCCGCGGCTCCCAAACCTCATTATATTTCTAAGTACAGTGCGGCGTTCTACCCGAGATTAACGCTAAGCATACTCGACTTTAAACCTGTCTGAACACAGGATTAAAATTGGGGGCGGGGGGGACACAAGGCAGCTAAAGCAGAGCCCCGTTTTAAACAGGATTAAAATCGGGGTGCAAGGGGAGCTAAAAAACGAGCCCCGTTTTAGCCTCCCTGCAGGGAAGCGGTCCAGGTCGACCAGATTAAAAGAAAATCAGCAGAAATGTTATTGGCCGACGGCCCGCTTGCTTTTTTTAATTTGCACGCGGCTCCGGTCGTGATCCATTCATTTCTGTCCCCGTCATCATTTTCTTTATGTCCTTCCACATTCTATCTGGCTAATTTTGTGCTGATTTTTCCCAATCCGCTGGAAAAGCTGGTGGGCACGCCAGAAACAACAGAGGTTTGTACAAATGCACGAGGCATTAAAAAAAAAAAAGAGAGAGAGAAAAAAATAACAACAAAAGCACAGATCCAACATTACGGATGAATGGAGATATTGCTAGAATTTGGGATTATTGCAGAATACCCAGCGCCCGGTCTACCCATATTTTTTTTTTTAACTTGCTGATATACTGTAAAACCAGGAATGCTTTATCTTCAAAAGCAGCCTGGAAAAGGAGAAGGGAGAGAATCAGGGTCGTGTGGGGCTTTGGTGTGGCAGCGAGAAAGAACGGATGAGAGACCACTAAGAGATTCCAGGGCTGCGGGTTCAAATCTAAACTCAAAAAGTGGACTTTGCTGTAATAAGCTGCATTCCCATTGAATGGAAAAATTCAGGAATTACCGGAAGCTGAGGTCAATTCGATTCTCCTAAATATGGTTTAAGTGGTGTCCCGATTATGAACTTACGAACACATCTGAGACCGCAGTTTCTGTTGCTAAATGAGACATTTAAGGGAGTTTTGCCCCACTTGGTCCCAGGACGTAAATACATGCCAGTTGCTAAGCCTCTGAATTTTGATCACGTGACCCTGGGGATGCTGCCACAGTCATAAGTATGAACAACGGTCGTAAGTTCCCTTTTTTTCCATGCCATTGTAACTTTGAACGGTTGCTAAAAGAACCGTTGTAAGTTCGAGAACTATCTGAATGGGCCTGATCCCCCTTTTAAAATCCCCCTTTCCAGTTGTCATAGACCTTCCTTCGTCCATGAGGATTATAAAAGGCCTGCCCGGGAAATTCACAGCCATCCAGCTGCACCTTCACTGGGGGGGCACAGAGAAAGAGAGCAGCGGATCCGAACACACCATCGATGGATTGCGGTACATGGCTGAGGTGGGTCACTCCGTTTCCCTCTGGAATTACCAGCCTGGGGAGGAGGAGGAGGAGGAGGAGGAGGAGGAGAACTAGATTCTCCTGCTTGAGCAGGGGGCTGGACTAGAAGACCTCCAAGGTCCCTTCCAACTCTGCTATTCTATTCTATTCTATTCTATTCTATTCTATTCTATTCTATTCTATTCTATTCCATTTCATTCCATTCTGCCTGTAGTTGAAAAACTAGGAATCGGTTGTCCAAGGCTACTTGCCTTTCAGGGAGAGCTTCACCACCACGTGGGCCCCCATGCCACTTTTTCACCGTTTCTTTTTTTTCCGCAGCTCCACATTGTCCATTACAACTCAGAAGCTTACTCCAGTTTTGACAAAGCGAAGAATAAACCTGACGGGCTGGCTGTTCTGGCTTTTCTTTTTGTGGTAAGGCACTCTACAACCCACTTGTGTGCAATGAGGGTCTTTTAAGAGGCCCACACCCAAGTTGGGTGGCACTGGTCTGCCGTTGAGTTTTGTCCCACCTCCTTGTACTACAAGCTCATTAAAGACCTTCTCAAAGGATCGCTCCCAACATATCCCATTATTTCTCCTTGTGGTCCTACTCCAACTTGTGCGTTATGGTGTGAGACACAGTCAGCCAGAGGTTCAGATGAGATTTGGCATTTTTGTCCACTTCCCGAGGCCTTCCCAAGGACCTGGAATAAGCAGATGTGGATGTTTGATGGTGTTAGAGATATCATCGTAGGATGTAAGCTGTTCCAAGTAGAGCTGCCTTTTGCAATTGACTGATGGTGAATTTGTGAATTCCCGAAGATGTTCAATGATGCTCCAATTCTTTAGGGATTGCACCCAAGGCACCTATAACTATCGGGACTAACTTTGCTTGTTCCTGCCACAGTCGTTCTATTTCTGTTTTGCAAGTCTTTTTGTGTGTGTGTGTGATCTTCCAGTTCTTTCTCTTCTGTTCTGCTGCGTCTGGCTACTGCTACATCCACTTCCAGACTCTTATCAACAATTGTTAACTCTGCTGTGTTATATGGCAGGTGCCAGTCTATAGAAAGAAAGGAAAAAACAGGCATAGAATCAACATTGCAGGAAGAAAATGGGGTTCAACAGTGGGACCTAAACATCAAAAGGAATCCGGAAGCCCCCTTTGGAAGCTACATTTTAATAATAAATGGTGTTAATTGAAATACAATAATTCACTTTAGAACACAACGCAATAGTGCATTTTAAGTGTTTAGTTGGAAAAAGTGGCAGTATACGCTTTGATTAAAAATAAATAAATTCCTGGCATGGCAAGCAAGCAACCTCTTTTGGAAGGACACTAAAAAGAGGATGGGGTCTCCTGCTGGTGCATTCCTTTGATTTGCAAATTGGCAAAAGCAAGGTTGTCATTTTCTTACAAATATCCCAGAACAATTGGAAGCTCAAAAGGCAATTTCCCAGAGAATGTCTCCCATTGCTTGGCCAAGCCTGGAACATCTGTCTGACATCTGCTTAACAAAAAGATCTCCCCATCAGGGAAGGCTAACAACCACTGTTTTGGGGCCCTTGCAACTGCTAAGGTGGTGTCCAAATTGTTGTTGTGCAGTTAGAAAAATTGCGAACTGGAAATTCAGCTTAATTTTCCAGCTGTTTGCCTCTGGCTCAGAGCAATGGGCTTCACACATACATACATATATACATACATACACAAAACTATCTCTCCCAACCTGGATCAGCTCCTTCATTTCTTCCAGGTTCCCAAATCTGATCAATTATAATTGGGTTCACATCATAGCTTGTTTAAGGGTGGCTCAGTCAGGTTTGCTCAACCTCAGATTGTGATGTTTAAGAACCAAAAGTTAGATTGCAACCTTCCACCAAGCCACCATGTAACAAATCACCTTGTGGCTTAGCTTGAGTTATCAATCGGATTGTTATCAAGCTGGATTTTTTAAAAATTGCTTTAAAATTAAGAAGTGTCATTGTGGTACTTTGTCCTGCCTGGTGGTTTTTAAAGGCTGCCTATGATCAAGTTTAGGGTCGAAAATGAAGTTTTTTTAAATTGAAAACAGAGGGGAGATTATACTTCACAACCCTGAACCTACCACTAGGGGGCAGCAAACACTAGGGAAATAAAGACTGGAAATACGTTTATTTTTCTGAGGGCAAATAGGGACGTTTAAATTAAAAAGAGATGAAGGGAGAGAAGCAAAATATATCTGCGCTTCTCCTTTGAGTGCAATTCAGTCCTGATGGCCCTTATTTCTGGGAC